ATGAAGTGTGGGTTAAAACTAATTCTAACTCGACGATTTTTAGAGAATTGGTTCTCACAGTCTTAAAGACATCTGGTTTCGATCATCGACCACTCGGGGGTGGCTTGACTTGACCCTCGTAAATATTCCAAGTTTTATGGGTTTTCTCAGAAAAACTCTCGAGGTCTGTTTATAAAAACGTATTTAGTAAATTACTCGAGATTAGAAAACGATGTAAGTATCAGGGATAATATTGCCATTCCCTAAAGAAAAGTGAGAAAAAAAAATAAAAATTACGGTGGAAAACCTTGTCTTACAAATAGAATCGTAACTACATAAACTACTTACTTCACAATCACTATACTACGCAATATGCTGGATCTTTTGGAGGTCGGGAAATATGTCACTGCATTCCTCGGTCAAGAAATAATTTACCACAGATTTTTTGTCAATTCGCTTTTGTTACCTTCTCTGTCGGGTCAATAAGTTACACCCCTTATAAAATGCGAAAAATAGTATCGAGCGATCAAGATAATTTGTAATCGAGTCGTCTTTGGATCCGAAAATGTATGTCTGTAAAATGTCAAGTAAAATGACAAGTCGAAAGGTAAAATGACATGATTAAAAAGGTGATGATTATAATAACTAAATTTACAATTTACCTTCAAAAAGGAACGGTCCTACTCGTATTATTATACGTCGGCGACTAATTCCCGCCCGTTTTACCGTTTTACCTTACGACTTGTCATTTTATTTGACGTCGTATTCCGTGAAGTTAGTTTAAAAACAGGCATACGTTCTCAGATGCAGCGATGACTCGTTTACAAATTATCTTGATCGCTCGATATAATCAACAGCAAGGGAAGCAGTTTAAAATATGTACTTATCACTTATCTACATATATATTTATAATGTAATTCTATACTCCTCCCCTTTTTAGTAGATTCTGCGATCACGTTATTTGAGAAGCCTGGATATTCGAATTGTTCTTTTATTTTACATAAACAACATGCTTCTTTTACCAAAAAGACGATTCAATTTTATTCACGCATACGCCCGATATTCACGCTCAACCCGAAATTTAAGGTGACCAACTTGTTTGTTTGTCCTGATTTGTCCCGATTTAAGGATAAACAGATCTGTTGTGCAGTTTTTTGAGATTGTTATTTTGCAGCTACGGATACCTAAAGACTAGGATACGACACGATGTAAAACAAAACGTCCCCGTTCTCGATAGTTCCGTTAGCGAGGCCAGATAGCGCAGTTGTTCCTTTCTCGTTTAAGTTTTAAGAGCAATGAAATAAAAAAAATGGCTGTATTTACATAATGGTGAGCAAAACGCAAATAAAATAAAATAAAATAATAGAAATATGGACAGATAGAGCATATAATTCTTAATAAAAAGAGATAAAGGCTATGCAAAAATTTTATTGAAAACTATATTTAAAAAAATTTCAAACATTTAGTAATTTGCGCTTCGTCTCATATTTTTCAAAATGCTGCGAATTTGGTTAAAGATACAAGAAAAATATAAAAAAGAAAGTTGTAGAGAATAAAATTTCCAAATAAAAGTTCGCGAGATGATGCCTCTATCTACAATGGTTTAGGTTCTAAAAAGACGCTCAAGCGACGAAATCAGGTCATTTTTACCGGTGGTCAAGAGACAGAAAATTAATTTAAACCTAAACGGTTGAAGAGAAAGATATGGTCTCGCGGACTTTTTTGTGGGAAATTTAATTCTCTACAACTTTGTTTCCTACACTTTTTTTGTATCTTCAACCGTATTCGCAGCGTTCTCAAAAATATCGAAACAAATTTTCGGTAACATTGATTAAACTACCTCCCACGTTTATGATTTTTCACTCTGATTTCGAAAATTTTCACAAAAATGTCTCATCACGTATCATTCTTATGTTACCAACTTCGTGCTGACACCCATGTTAAGGCTTAACTTATCGTTTGCCAAGATAGGGAATTTCATTGCATTTTTCGATAAGGTTTTTCTCGGCTATTATAAGAAATTTTTTGGTTTTAATTTTTTTGATGAAACCATTTTAGATATTTCTAGGGATATTGTTATGTAGCTAATTTAAATTCTTATTTTTTATATATTTTTTAACTTATTTTTTATAATAAAATTATAGTATTTACATGGAAACTAACAATGTCCTTCCTACATGTACCAAAGACCTTAAGAAAAAAAAATGAAATCATTCGGATAATTAATAACTGTAAAATCTCTTGTGGAAAATATTATTAACTTTCGTAGTGTGAAAATCGTCTTGTCTCTCTCAACCCTAGTTCATTTTCACAACAAACTGAGCTTAACGTAAGCAGACCCCCATCACCGCACCGGTTTTATCTGATTTATGACCTTACAAGGGAAGTTTCGCATCTATGAGGAAACAACTAAAAGTACAAGCTGTAAAATTAGGTCATTTTAAGAAATGATGTAAAAGATGAATAAATTTAATAAGACAATGTATTTACACCAGATAATTCTATTTTTCACCAAAAATTAAGTCTAATTATTATGCAGAAATGTTAGGAATAACTTGAAGCCCTTTTTTCCTACTGGATACCTGCTATGGGTTTTTTATCCATTAGGGGTAGTTACTGATATGATGAAGTTTACAAAAGTAGTACTTATTGTCTTCATAACAAAATACTGTTTATTGCTTGAAGGTATGTAGGTAGAGAAGAGGCTTATTTTCCTATTTGGCTGTTTCTAAATAAATTTAAATTTGAAGTACCAAATGCGGGGTAATGCTACTTTGATTTCATATAATTCTAAAGGTAAATATTTACATTGTTTGAAAAAGGCTGTAAATCAAAAAAGTCCGGGATATTATACTACTAAATATGTAAATGCACAACAAAAAATAAAAGCAAATAATTTAAAACGAAAATTAAATAAAAATAATGACAACAATCTAGTAAACAGAAGAAAAATTACTGAAGAAGCGGATGGTGATTATGGTTGTGTTGTGCAAAGATGTTTTGAAAGTAATTAATAAAACTCCTGAAGAAATTCAGATAATTTTTAATCAAACAATTTTATTACAATCACTATTTACCAGCTTATGCTGAAATGTGTTTAAAAAATAGTTGCTCTATGTAAAGTACAGCCGCAGAGTACTGAAAATAATTCAACTATTTAATTTTCTTTATTATGAGCATACAATATTTTAATAAACTAACTTTAGAAATATTTAAAAAATCATATAAGTATTACTATAAAAGAGTGAAATCTCAACATTTGCTTTTGTTAGGTACGTTACTGTCACGTTTTAAAAAAGCTAACAGTAATCGACTAATCGCCCATTATGGAAGGGTTCCAGCGGCCTTGATAGCGTTCTTTCATCTTTCTGATGTCTTGGTAAAACTTCTCTTCTTGTTCGTCACTGACAGCCCCCAGATTATATTATTGGTAAAAAATGCAACAAATCAACGGTACGTATTATCAAAAAACTAAATGCATTTTGTAATTTAGGAAGTAAAAAACTACTATTGACCAAATTGTCATCAATGTTACCGAACCCTTGTTGACCTGTGTTATCAGTTTGCGTTCCGCCCAATATTTTTAAGAACGCTGCGAATATGCTTAAAGATACAAAAAAAGTGTAAGTAACAAAATTGTAGAGAATAAAATTTGCTACAAAAAAGTCCGCGACACCATATTACTATCTTCAACGGTTTAGGTTTAAATTGCTTTAAAATGTTCCTCTGACACTAAATCACCAGTAAAAATGCAACGAATCCGTCGCTTGAGCGGCTTTGAAAGTCTTTGAGGCCTAAACCATTAAAGATAGAGGAGATGGTTAGAACAGTTAGGTAGTTAGTTGACAGTTCTAAGTGCTAAGTTCTAAATTTTAATTAAAATAAATGTGATTGAGTTTTGAAAAAGTATCATCATGGGAGGCCTATAGCTACCCTATATGTTTGTCTGGACCAGGGTAAAACTGTCGAAACTGTCTGGTTACTGAGAAAACATCTTCTAATAGTTGTCCAAGTAACATGTATAAGATTCAGCTTTTATAGTATAACGTAAGTATAGTTACAATTTATAAAGTTTAAGGGTGTCTGAGAAGGGGTTGCCACGATATTAAGTGTCTGGCAATGGGTGAGGTAATTTCTTATATTATGTATTTCGAAGAAAATATAAATAAAATTACGCTTTTTTATTTGATAAATTTAAGTCGGTATTTTTTACTTCTTTGCTACCTGTTATCTCCCAAAGCCACGATGACCCAAACTTCATACTTGCCCATTGTTTATACCTGTGTTGGTAGTATGCGCTGACAAATATAAAATGACGAAGGTCTGGCGACCGCGGTCTCTTGTTCTATAAAACTTTTACTTGTGTCAATTTGTCATAAAAGCGTCATTTTTTTGACGTTTGCGGATAAAATATTTCGTTTTAATTAGTGAAACCGTCGTCTGCGTTGATTGACAGTAATAATATTTAATATTTAATAATAATAATAATAATATTTAATATTTTAGTAATATTTACTGTCAATCATCGCAGACGACGGTTAAACCGTAACAGTAATGTCAATCAACGCAGACGAGGGTTAAACATAGTAATCGTATTTTTATTTTTGACAAATTTCTGTCAGTCAAAATGACTACTCTAGTTATCGCGCTGGATAGAAACGTGCAGTCTGCGAAGCGTTTTTTAAACATTCTTCGTAAATGAGAATCTTGTTGTTCTTTTCGTGAATATTTTAGTAAGTCTCACCAAATTCTTTAAGGTTTGACTTTTTATAAGTTAAAATTGAAGTGCTACTTGGTCACTATACAGGGTGATTCACATAACTTTACGACTCTGAAGATCTTTAAATGCAACATATTATACATTATTCATCTATAACTTGATACTCTTAGTTATGTTTAATTAGCATGAAATCCGGACACCCCTAAGATCAATGACAATTATAATTGACAACTTGTTTTTTGTAAAATTTCAAAAATTTTTGGTTGATTAAAAATGTATTCTAATGACGAAAGGGTCGACATGATATTGATTTATGTATAGTGAGTGTTAGAAGAATGCAGTAGCAGCCGAAAATTTGTACCGGCGCGACGGCGGCGTCGGTATCCGACCGATAAAATTTTTACACAATTAGAAGTTGAACTACGTCTAAATTGGCCAAAACATAAGCGCCATAGACGACGGATTGCAACGAATCCTGATAATGAAATAAAAGTTATGAAAACTGTGGACAATAACCCACATGTCAGCCACAGGCAAATTTCGAGAGAAATTGGGATTAGTCAGTCGTCGGTATGGCCACTACGTAGTACCGATTGTTGTCCCTTATACTACTTTTTATAGGGAACCCTCAAGAACAAAGTTTACGAAACTCCGTTTGCAGATATGAAAACTGAAAAATATAATTCGTACTGCATGCCGAGTAATTACACCACACTTTTAGTAAGAGTTCGCCAGTCTTTAGTGAGGCGTATTCAAGCATGTTTAGAAAATAATGGACATCAGTTTGAAAATTTGTTGCATTAAGTTCTTTAGTTTTTGTTTAGTTTTTTGAGTTATTCCACTGTTTTTTTACTATTTCACACATTTCACTGTTTCTTTACTAAAATAAAAATGTGTTGTTACTCCATTGTAGTCATTTATTTATTGATTGGCGTTATTAGATTTTTATGAGGGATGTCCAAAAGTTAAAATAGTTTATTACTTATACTTTTAGTCTTT